AGGCAGTTGGTGGCAGCTTGCCAAGCGCATGATGCCACATAGCATATTTGAGTCTCTTTGCGAAGCCGGCTTAAAATCTAAGCTGGCATTCGCAGCGTTGCGTACGTGATAATTGTTCAAAATGGACAAAGGTGGAAACAAGATCAGCTCAGCTCTATGCAACATGCCGGCAGGGATTCGATCGATACGTGCTTTGCGTTACACGTTTGCAGGAATCAACATGGAACCTAGACTGGAAGACCGTTTTCCATTTTGAAGGGACGCCCTGTCAGTTTCCATGTCAATTGGTGGGATGGTAGTTTCCACAATGTTGTAGATATTTGCGATTGTGTCCGTTAATGTGGGGGAAGGGTCGACAGTTGAGCGGCTTCCCCATGTCGTGGCCGGTTGTCCACCCCAGGACTTTCGACGGATCGTTGCATTTGACCAGGCGCTTCTTGCGAACATGAGTGTCAATTTTCCGGGTTTCGTTGCCGACGTGCGAGCCCTCCTTCAAATTATTACCCCACCGCCGAATGTAATGACGCACTCGGCCTGGGGCAGTCATAGCTAATTGGGAAGCAGGCTTGAAGCGAAAGCAGTCAGAGGCACGGCACGCCCAAAATGAAGGCAACAGGTTGTCGCACGCAGGCTGAAGAGCAGAAACCCAGGTTATTGTGGATGGTCCTGCCCGGCAGCCTTTACCATCCCTTCCATTTGGCATGTTTCCTTTAGGGGTGCTTAACAGATCTGACTACTTCTGCCCGTATTTTGCGTGGGCTTTGAGTCAGAGTTGAGAAAGCTCAGCCATTGCTTACACGGACACGGGAAGCGGAGATGACGTAACTCTCATTTCCTTCAAAGATCTTGAGCCGGGCGGAAGCGTTCGTCTTCACGCCATGAGCATAAGTGGGAGGCCGCGAGAGTGAGTTGGCTTTCTGAGATGGGCTGGGGGATGGGTGTGTCTGCCAGAAGTGCAAGCCGAGCCTCCTGCCACCAAGACAGTCGAGGCATGCGAGATCTGCATCATGGTTACACCTTCTGTAGGGTTCACCCGAAGACTGGAGATTTCGCAATTTAGCCCACGGCATAGAACTTTTACTATACAAACGGCTCAATTGCCTGCAAGACTGTTTGGCCGAGTCATTGCTTTGGCTCAATCCTGAAGGCTGGCCTTAAAGATGCCTTGCTTGTCAGACAGAAACAATGCACCTGACTGAAATAGAGTCTGAGAAGTGGGGACTTTTCCCTTGAGGTCTATGCTAAAGTAGATGGCGCTCGCTGCTGCAGGGAAATGGCCACCAAGCGTTAAACCGGGTCCTCTGACGTTGGCACCCCCCCAAGAAAAGACAGCCATAAGGATGGGTGATTATGCCATGCTTCAAATTAAAAGATGGGATCGACTTGCCCAAATGCTTCGCCAGGCCGAGCTTCGCTGAACACTTTCAGGCATTTGCCCGGACAATGGGTGGTGACCATTTTGGCGGGCTTGCATTCTTTTTAAAGAACCGTGGGTTGGTTTAACGGGAAGCCGAGAAGAACAGCATCCATTTTCGGGGGTCCAAATCCTTGCGACACATGCGACATGAATTTCCTGGGCTGGTGTTTGAGAACCGGGGACTGACAAACTGAGAAGTTGAGAAGGCATGGGGCTCTAGAGAATGCGAGATGGGGACTCGGTGAGTCATGTTTCCATTCTCTTCGCTAAGTCGCCCTTCGCACGCATCTGCTAGCAACACGATGTGCCTTTTTTGCCTGTGTCAGCAAGACGCTGTGCAACATTTTGCCCAGTGAAGTGACTCAGAACAGCAGCTGGGCCGTGGACAAAGCGTGGACAACCTGTGGAAACGCCTGCAAAAGGCGTGGAGGCAATGCCAAAAAGCGAGGGCTGCGCTGAAAAGCCCAGCAGGACCACATGACGCTTCCACCAAAATGGGCCAAATGCAGGCTTCGTGCACGAGCGTAGCGTTTGTTTGTTCCACAAAAAACGCAGGGTCGCCGAAACTGTGCCGACACCTCAAAAGGAAAACATGGAACCGTAACTGCACTGGAGCTCGTCCGTTTGCAGAACTGCGTGAGAGCAAAGCAATGCGAGGTAAAGATGTCAGATATTGAGAGCACCGGGCCAAAGGCCTTGAAAAGGCGTGGATACTTACCATGGATACTTCCCGGTTTACAAAACAAGGCTTCTTGACAAATCAAGGCCAGAGGCCATATTTAGATAGGCCTTTTGAAGCGCAGGGAACAACTCCCAGCCCTCGTGTTGTTTTCCCCCCGGGCCTTGTATCACAAAAACCTGTTTGAACATTTGGTGCAGCTCCTCGGGCGCTCAACCTTGGTCGGTCTGGTCAGCCGCAGGGGCTCTTGTTGGTCCGTGTTGAGTCTTTGTTCCGGGACTTCACCAAACAAGTGCGCTCCGGATCCCCTCCCTGTGATGGGGCCCGAGCAAAACAACCAGGGTTTATTTGTGTGTGTGGGTGTTTCCAAGTGTCGCGCGCAACGTGCTGTGCCAGCGAAGTTGTCGGAATTTTAACCAAAGGGCAAGAGCCACACATGGGTGTCTTGAGTTTAGCGGTGCGCTGCCTGGCTTTTTGTTCTGAGCTCCCCCAAAAGGAAGTCAAACGAATATCGGTGGACATTGATTTCATGGCTTGTGTTCCGACCATAGCGATCCCCTGCACCATCACTTTCCATTTTCAAGTCACTCTACGTGGCCCTGGGATGCTGGGTGTTGCTGAGAAAGGAACACAATTGCCCATCTCATCTGGACCTCGCTGAGAGTTGTCTCAAACAACCCGACTGAGAAATGAGAGCGGTGCTCTTGGCGGGCGTCCCTGCAAAAGATGCCGGTTTTTTGGCGATCTCTGGGGGCAGAACCAGCTCACTGCTATAGGTCCTTTCCCTCATTCCAGTTGAATGGAGTTCTCACAATTGCAGACCAACGTGGAGCCCGCAAAGTCGCCTGAACAGCAGGTTCCATGTTGGTGGCGCAAAATTGGAACTGAGGCTGCGAAGCCCGGCAGAAGGAAAAATGTGATGCGGACCCCCATGTTTTCTGCTTTGGGGATTTGCTTAGGCAAACAGCACGAGCTGGGGGCAATGATATAATACGCTCTGGGGCAACGGGCTTGTTATGAGAGCAGCGTTTGCTCTTTCTATCGAAGCAAAGCCGCACAGCACTACTTTAATGCCATCAAGTCTTGCAAGTGTCGCTTTCTCCTTGTGGCGCACTGGCGTTTCTGTTTTCGCAGAGCAGGAGACGTTGGCTTGGGAAGCCTGTTGCGGAAACCGAGGTGACACCTGCTTGTTCATCGACCTCTCGGTTTTGGCTCCAATGCAGATTTTCCCAAGAGTGCTTTCCAAGGGGTCAATGGCCGGGCCTGCTGCCGGCGGATTTCATCGCTTGCGCAACCCGGACTCCTTTGATGAAGTGCGCAAGTCCGGCCTTTTCCGCAGCAGTACGCCTTGTCAACTCTTGAGTCGTCACTTGTCTTGAGAAGTTTTTCCGGGGCCGAAGTATATGAACACCAGACTGTGGGGATGAACTTACCAGTCGTACTCAATAGCTATAGTTTTTTCTGATGTAAGGGCTGACGCCCAGTCCGCCCCCGCCCCCAAAGTGCCGCAAAAACTGGGTGGTGCTTGGTGCTGTCGAAGGTGGGTTGATCTTGGGCTGGAATATGGAGCAATCTGGAGCGGGTGTTTTCCACAGTCATGCACGGCATGGCCTGGCCCTGCAACAACTGTGTCCGCCTCGTCATCCTGCCCGTCATCATCGCGGGCCTTTTCCCATTTGCACGGCTCTGAGCCATCGCCGCTCGGCACGCGTAGCCGTGACAGCCGGACGAACCAGGACAGCTGTGACAGACACGGCCGTGACAGGCAGAAGCAATGCAGAAGACAAGTTTCAGAACCAGGTTTGCCAGCAGCACTCCTAGAAAATGTGACAAAGTTGCTCCTTTTTTCCGTTTTGCAGACGTTGAGAGTGAAGCAGTGGGCCAGCGGTGGCTTTGCTGTTTGTCTGACAAAGGCTCAGGATGTGCCAGGGGCATGGAAATAATTGTCCGGAGCGCACGCGCAGCGCAGACAAAAGCGTGTAGCTAGTCAACAGGCCCAGGATGAGCAAACATGTCGAGTGCCGCTTTGAATGTGGCAGCCTTTGTGCCGGGCAAGCAGCGCTCCGCACTTTCAAGTGCTGTCTTGCCATGTAGTTGGATCTTGGGGCTGCAGAGCTTCGAGCCACGGTATGGCCCCGCCAGCCCTTTGTCGCGATCCCTCGAGCATAGGTCCAGACGAGGCCTGAACTTCACAAATGTCTGCAGGAAAAGATTCTTTGGACGCCATTAGGATCTAGTTGTGCGTGCGGGGGTCCAGTGTCTAAGAGCGCAACCGAATTGTGCTTGCTAACTTCCCCAGAATTATCTCCCCTCTTTGTTTTTTTGCTTTTTTGGGGTTCCCTTTTTTTTCCACTCACCAAGCAAAAACATTTGCTGGGGTCCTAATTCCAGCCAAGCTAAAAGGCTGAACAAGGCGACATCCCCAGCAGCCCCGACAGTGGGTCATTTGGGCCTTGTGTGATTCTAGAGGCGCGTTCCAGCATCCCAGCGCCCGACCAAACCACAACAGTTAACAACTTCACTTCTACGCTGCCAGGAGAAAGAGCCCAGATTCCACCCTTCCCAGAGACACGTTTTGCCTTGTGAGGAAGGGCCGGCGGGTTTCATGGGAGGCACTTAACCTCGGATAACCGGCCTGTGAGTTCTAAGCAGGGCACTGGGTGGGACAGACGGATAGTTCACAGAAAGGACGAACTGGCCATTTGGCCCTTCGATTTTGAGAGAGGATGCACTTGCGTGGGAGATAGATAGAAATGCCTTTCGAGACCCAACGTTTTTCAATCTGCGGCCACGAAGGGCCGCAGCAATATGGGTGTGGTTCAAAATGAATCAAGGCGGGAACGCAGTTCGACCGAATCCTTTTAACCCAGAAGGAACACGCAAGACGTTTGTGCGTTGGCCCAGGCTTCGCGATTGTCTTCCAGGACACTCTCGAGGCTTTTCTGCTAGCAGGTGGAATCAGGACACGCTTTCCAACCATGCAGCAGGTGAAGCTTGCAAGCGAATTCTTGTTCAATGCGTCTGCAGAAACAGACATCGTGGATATTTTCATTGGCCACTCCTGGAGTGCTGGGCGGTGGTCCAAATTTCTGGCGCTGTGCATGTGCCTCGGCGTGTAGATGGAAGCACGACTTTTTTCCCGAATGCGTAGCGAAGGGTTCCCGTTTATAGTGTGGGGGTCTGGGGGTTGGACCCTTGTTCGCGTCGTGTTGGTCGGCTTGTCGCGGTGTCGTCGTGGTGTCGTCGTCGCAGGGTCCAAAGTTCCATTACAGTGGGGGAGCGCAGAACGTGTGAGTTTTAATGATATGCGACGCGCTTTTGAGGCTCGACGTGTGGTTTCGCTGCGCAGGCGCAGTGTTTCGTGAGCTTCTACGTTTGCGTTGCAAACGCAATGGGGCGCGCGTTTCCGGGGTGTTTGTTTTCAGGTGTTTTTCTATGCTTGCTCGCGCAAGCGTTTGCTCGAGTGTCGTTTTCGTTGGCCCTGTCCTACAATCGGCTCGTTTTGACCTGCTTCAAAAAGACTTTTCTCGCGCATTGCCATTGAATGTTGCGACGCGCGCGTTGCGCGAATGCAAAGTGAACCCTCTGCGCACTTCGGGTGGGTCGGATCGCTTTCCCTGTGGCGCTCTGCGCATTTTTAAGATGCAAGTGAACCCTCTGCGCCTTTAAAAAGGAAAGTGAACCTTCTGCGCACTTTGGGTGGGTCGAATTGCTCTCGCTGTGGCGCGGCACACATGTTGAAAATGCAAAGTGAACCCTTTGGGTGGGTCGAATCGCTCTCGCTGCAACGCGGTGCACATTTTGAAAATGCAAAGTGAGCCATCTGCGCACTTTGGGTGGGTCGAAGCGCTCTCGCTGTGGCGTGGTGCACGTTCTAGGATGACAAAGCAAACCCTCTGCGAACTTTGGGTGGGCTCGTCGAGTCGCTCTCGCTGTGGCGCGTCGCGCGCTTTGAGATCGCAAGGTTCACCCTCTGCGCACTTTGGGCGGGATGAATCGCTCTCGCTGTGGCGCGGTGCGCATTTTGAGACAAGAGACGTGGCAAGAGAGCTTTCTCAGAAGTGTTGACCATGCCATGCAGCAGTGTTGCTCAGAAGTGTCACTCAAGAAGTGTTGGTCAGACGTGTTGCTCAGAAATGTCGCTCAGAAGTCGATCAGAAGTGTTGCTGGAAGTGCTGGTCAGAAGCGTTGATCAGAAGTGTTGCTCAGAAGTCTTGCTCAGATGTGTGAACCAGAAGTGTCGATCAGCAGTGTTGCTCGGAAGTGTGTTAAGTGTCGGTCAGTTGCAACTCAGAAGTGCCGATCAGAAGGGCCGATCAGAAGTGTTGCTCAGAAGTGTCGATCAGAATTGTCGAGCACAAGTGATGCTGAGACGTGTCCACCAGCAGTGTCGATCAGAAGTATCGATCAGAAGTGTTGATCAGAAGTGTCAGTCAGAATTATCGATCAGATGCGTCGCTCAGAAGTGTTGTCAGGAGTGTTGGGCAGAAGTGTCGGTCAGAAGTGTTGCTCGCAAGCGTCGCTCGGAAGTGTTGATCAGAAGTGTGGATCCGTTGGTCCGAAGTGTCGATCAGAAGTGTTGATCAGAAGTGTCGCTCAGAAGTGTCGCTCCGAAGTGTCGGTCAATCGGAAGTCTTGCTCAGAAGTGTCGGTCAGAAGTGTTTGACAGAAATGTCGCTCAGCAGTGTCAATCAGAAGTGTGGATCAGAAGTGTTGCTCAAAAGTGTCGCTAAGAAGTGTCGATGAGCAGTGTGGATCAGAGGTAATGGTCAGACGTGTTGCTCGGAACTGTTGCTCTGAAGCATCGATCAGAAAAAGTGTTGAGCAGAAGTGTTGATCAGAAGTGTCAATCAGAAGTATCGATCAGAAGTGTCCCAGAAGTGTTGCTCAGAACTGTGGATCAGAAGTGTGGATCAGAAGTGTTGCTCAAAAGTGTCAATCAGAAGTGTGGGTCATAAGTGACTGTCGATCAGAAGTGTCGATCAGAAGTGCGGATCAGAATTGTTGCTCAGAAGTGTCGATCAGAGGTGTCGATCAGAAGGAGTGTTGATCAGAAGTGTGGATCGGAAGTGTTGCTCAAAAGTGTCGCTCAGAAGTGTCAATCGAAAGTGTTGCTCAGAAGTGTCGCTCAGAAGTGTCGATCAGAAGTGTTGCTCGAAAGATGCGGTTTAGTCTAAAAAGAATAGACCGAATTCATAGAAGTAGGTCTACGCAAAGTGTAAAACTGCGGGCAAACTACGAGAAAAGCTCGGCTTTCTGCTTGTGTTTTACCTTGGGTGGGTAAGTTCGCCTCCGGGCACAACAAGCTGCCTGGCACTCCTTTTTTGCGAAGTGGCTGGCCGATCGCCCAAAATGTTGCGTTTAAAGCCACTCGCAAGCTGTAGGAAAACTTCCAGCCAAGCACGGGGAAATTGCGGGTTTGGCGTGTCTAAAACTGTGGCTTTTTTAAGCTGAGCCAACAGCAGTTTTCAAGAAGTTTTGAGGACACTTCGGGTTTTTTAGGTTTATCTAAAAACATGAAGTAGACCAAAAATTCTGCCTAATAGGCAGAATGAGTTTAGCCTACTTGGACTTTTTCCACGCCCGAAAAGCAACAGGAAAGAAAACTACCGAATAGACAGAGCAAGTTCTAACTAATAGTCACAGGAGTTGTCGCAAATCTGTCGAATAGACAATTTTTTGACTTATCCGGTCTATTGGGTAAGAAGTGTCGCTCAACAGTGTCTCTCAGCAATGCGAGTAGAAATGTCGCTCGGATTGTCGTTAGTGCGCGAAGTACAGGTTTCCAGCTGTAGCGTGTAGCTGGAGAATCGCAACTTCGAAGTTCGAGCCTAGTACGCGAAGTACAGGTTTCCAGCTCTAGCTGGAAAATCGCAACTTTCAAGTCTAGCACGCGAAGTACAGGTTTCCAGCTCCGGCTCGAGAATCGCAACTTGCAGTATAAGTCAAGTACGCGAAGTACAGGTTTCCAGCTCTAGCTGGAAAACGGCAACTTTGTAGTGCAAGTCTGGTACGCGAAGTAAATGTTTGCAGCTCCAGCTGAAAAATTGCAACTTTGTAGCACAAGTCTAGTGAGCGAAGTGCAGGTGTCCAGCTCCAGTTCGGAAATCGTAACTTTGTTGTAGCGCAAGTCGAGTACGCAAAGTACAGTTTTACAAGATGAAAAAATAGTTTGCGCAGTTGACTTGATTGGGAGCGAAGAATGCTGTCCCTAATCATTTTGTGGGGTTTGCGCATAGTGATGTGCATTCGGGTTGGTGGCTCTGTCTTGCTATTTAATTGTAAACCTCAAGTTTTTTGGCGTTAGGGTCGAATGCCCTCATCGTAAACGGAAGTATGCGAGAGCAAGCGTGAAGGGGGTTTTCCAGCAGGCCTTCCCTGTTCTGCCATTGCTTGTTGAGTTTTCAAGTCTCTCCACCTTTCGATCCCGTGCCCCTCAATAGCACACATGACAGCTTGAATGAGCGAATGTTTTTTGCAAGGATTCCCTCAGCGTCCAGGTGTCTTTCTCTTTTAACTGAGGTACTTCAACCTTGACATAGCAGTCAAATGTGCCTGTGGTACTTGGCTTCTTGTGGTCACTGTGCTGCTGGGATGGGGTGGCGGGATCACCATCCTCGGAGGCAGCTGCCTTGCCTTGCCATGCCTCACATACCTACCAATTAGTTGTTTCTTTCTTGCGTTCCTGTTCGCACATCACATCATGGGTGAAACTCCATCTGTCTGGGTGGACAGGCTTTGCATTCACCAAACAAACCCGGACTTGAAGGCAAAACAGGTCGCAGCTCTCCCGGTCTTTGTCGCTCGCTCACGGCGAATGCTGATCTTGTGGGACGACACCTACTTTGAGCGATTGTGGTGCAATTTGGAGCTTGCCACATGCGCACGCTTTGGTGGAGCAGAGAAAGTGGAAGTGCTCCCTGTGTGGTTGGCCCCATGGCTGCTGACCTCGATCTTGTCCCTGCTGTTCAGTGTGACCCTGTTTGACATCTTGGAGCGTGTCTTTCCCAACTGGGGCGCTCCATGGATTGAAGGCATCGCTAACTATGCAGAGGTGATACTTGGGGAGAAACAACTCTTTGTGGCCGCGTTTCGCACTTGGATGATGTCATGCCTTGTGCAATTGCCCACCTCTTTGCCCTGTTTTCTCTCCTTCCGGATGAAGCTGCGAAGTCACCAGCTATTGCTGGATCAGATGGCAGCTTTTGATGTGAGAAATGCCAAGTGCACTCTGCCTGCGGATCGGGGGCCCATTGAACAGCAGATGCGAGAGCTTTTCAAGGATGGAGATGTTCTTGAAGATCAGGAGGCCAAGGCGACGGGTGATGTTGATGCTGGGGAGGCGGGCAGCTTTGTTGGAAAGCCGACCAAACATAATTATGTGGGTGAAGCTTGGACTAGATGTGTGTGTGTGTGTGCTATGTCAACCTCGACAAACGTGTATTCTGCTGCCCAAAATGTTGTGTTAACATGAAAGCTAAACTTGAGGCAGTGGGGCAACCTCCAGCTGCGGTTTCCAGTGGATGTCGCATCGAGTCACATGCTAGCGTGATAGAATACAATGTGTTTCTTGCAGATGTTGCAGGTCCGTCTTCAAAGGTTTGTTGATGTCAACTACTTTCGCGATCCGCTGCAAAGCTTCAATCTCTACGTCCGGGGGACGCTGCGGGACTCTGTGATTGCACAGATCGGTGACGAACTATCTGTGCCTTGGCGGACCTGCTTGATTGCCATCCTCCCAATGATCTTCTACTCCTCTGTGAGCGTGCTGGGCTGTGACAGTGGGCCGTGTGAGACTTCATCTGAATTGCAGGGCTTCGTCTCTGTGGGCCAGTACATGGTCACAAATAGTGTAGTCTGGGTGCTGTGCATTGCCGTTGCAAGTCCGCTGACATTCCCCATCACCCTTCGGATGCTAAAGTTCACGTTCTCCTTCGGAGATGGTCCACTGCAACATGTCGCAGCATTCCTGTGCTGTGCTTTGGCAAGCATCTGCAACTGCCTGTGCAGTAGCGTTCTTGGCACATTGTTTGGAGTCGTGATGGTGGAGTACTCGGTGAAGAAGCTCTTGGCTTTCGTTGTGATGCTGGTCGTTCTGATAATGCAGAACGTGTGGCTCTTTTGCGGGCACATCCAGCGACGGAGCCGGAATGAGATTTCCTGCCGCTGCATCAAGCGACAGGCTGTTTATGAGGCTGTTGGTGGCAGCTTGCAAGCGCATGATGCCACATAGCATATTTGAGTCTCTCTATGAAGCCGGCTGGAAATTCAAGCTGGCATTTCCAGCACTGTATACTTGATAATTGTTCAACATGGACAAAGTTTCGGACAAAGGTGGAAATAAGATCAGCTCAGCTCTATGCAACAGACCGACAGGGATTCAGTCTGAAATGATGCCGATCGAGGGAACTTTGGCCCAGGTAACAAAGCCCTCGTAAGTATTGATACGTTACCCTCCCACCAGTTAACATGGAACCCAACAGGGGGGTCCTGGAAGACCTTTTTTCGTTTTAAAGGGACACCCTGTCAGGTTTCATGTCAATTGGTGGGATGGTAATTTGCACAATGTAGATATTTGCGATTGTGTTTGTGTTTTGTAGGGACTAGTGGCCGTTAATGTGGGGGAAGGGCCGACGGCACGCGTTGAGCGGCTTTCCCATATCGTGGCTGCCCGGTTGTCCACCCCAGGACTTGCGATGGATCGTTTCATTCGACCAGGCTGGTATCTTAACTTACTTCTTGCAGAAATGAGTGTCAATGTTCCGGGTTCGTTCTGCGCTTCTAGCAAACAGGGCATGCACGAAATGCCCTAGCTAATTGGGAAGCAGGCTCGAAGCAAGGTAGTGGGAGACACGGCCACACCCAGGATGAAGACAGCAGGTTCTCGCATGCAGGCTGAAGACAACAGGTTCTCACACGCAAGCTGTAGAACTCCCGAGTACAGGTTTATTGTGGATGGACCCTGAAACTTATGCGGACCATCCCTTCCATTTGGCATGTTTCTTTTCGGGAAGTTTAGTAGATCTGAACACTTCTGCCCGTATGCCATTGCCATTGCGTGGGCTTTGAGTTGAGAAAGCTCAGCCATTGCTTACATGGACACGGGAAGCGAAGATGACGTAACCCTCAATTCTCAAGATCTTGAGCCGGGCGGAAGCGTCGCCATGAGCATAAGTGGGAGGCCGCGAGGGTGAGTTGGCTTCTGAGATGGGCTGGGGGCTGGGTGTGTCTGCGAACATTGCAAGCCGAGCCTCCTGCCACCAAGACAGTCGAGGCATGCAAGATCTGCATCATGATTACACCTTCCGTAGGGGTCACCCGAAGACTGGAGATTTCACAATTTAGCCCATGGCATAGAACTTTTACCATACAATCGGCCCACTTGCTGGCAAGGGTTCCCTGAAGACGGTTTGGCTGAGTCATTTCTTTTCCTGAAAGCTAGCTGGCCTTAAAGATGCTTTGCTTGTCAGACGAACACAGTGACAAACCTGACTGAACCAGAGTCTGACATCCGGGAAGACATTCGCCACCTTGAAACGGGTCCCCTGAATTTGACACTCCTCGACAGGAGCTTCACATTTTCAGACCTTCGCACCAAGAAAAGACAGCCGTAACAAGGGGGCGATGATTGTAATCTGTCATGTTTCAAGGATCCCAGACCAAAAAAAGAAAAGAAGATCGGCTTGCCCGAATGCCTCGCCAGGCCGAGCTTTGCTGAACACCTTCAGGCATGAGCCCGGGCAATGGGTGGTGATCATCTTGGCGGGCTTGCATGTTTGTTTGAAGAACGGTGGGTGGGTTTAAAGGGAAGCCAAGAAGAAAGCACCAATTTCGGGGTCCAAATCCCTTTGACACATGACTTTCCTTAAAGCTTGGCTAGAGGTGCTTCAGAACCGGCAAGGACGTGGAACTAACAAGTTGAAGCCATGAGGCTGAAGTGAGCCGCTTCGCCCTGTTTGGGACTGGGTGAGTCATCTTACCAAAGGTCTCAGTTTGCTCCTTGAAGTTCTGACCCATTCGCTTCGCTAAGTCTAGTGGGTACGACGCCCGTGTGCGGACCAGAGCGGATGCTCTATGCCAATCCCTGAAACTGATTTGAACGTTTGATTGCACTTGTTTTTCTCTCCGGAATCGGACACCGTTTTTCTTCTTGGAGTTGACAACAACTCCCAGCCCCCGTGTTTGTTTTGTTGTTTTTCTGCCCGTATCACAGGCTTTTGGAGCATTTGGTGTGGCTCCTTCGGCGCCCCCTTGGCGGGATCCAAACGCCCAACATACAAACGAAACCACTTCGGACATCGAGGGGCAGATCCGATGATGCCGGGAACGGCCTTTTATGAGCGCGGGGAAGCTCCTGCTTTCTTGCGAAGGGTTTTGTCTCCATTCCTCTCCTCACTGTTTGCCGGTTGCGTCTTTCTCTGAAGATTTGACCTCTCATAGAAGCGCGGGGAGGACAGAGGAAGAGATAAATCGAAAGATGAATGCAAGGCCTTCTTTTGTAATCTCAAGGTGCGATAGGCTGGGACTTGTTTACACTATGCAGGGACGAACGCATTGGTCCCGTCAAAGAAGAAGCACATGTTGGCCCCATGCCAAACTTCTCCCAGAGAAGGTGGCCAGGGGTCCATTTTGAGCTTTGATCAGTGCCCCGATCCCCGAGATTCCCTCAGAAGGAAGACCTTCGGATCTACTCAGATCCCAGCTGATTGGTTGGGGGTGAACATTGAGCCCCTGCATTTGGCAGCTCGCCTGCATGTGCGCAGACACAGCAGGGAGCAGGCGGCGAAAACCAGCATGGTTTGCGCTTTCTCTTGGCTCCAGGCATGTGTGAACCCGGGTGTTCCCGAAGTGACACCTACGTGCCACTTAGAACCAATGAGGGAGGACAGATTGACATTGCCGAGTTTGCCGGAGACTTCAGTATTCAGTCGTGCCACAACAGCAGAGACGCTTTGCTGCAGGCGTGACTTCTGAACCGTTTCCCTTGATAGGCCACGTGGGCTCAGAAAGCGGCCCTGGCCAGTTTCTGATGGAAAGTAGGGGCATCTTATGGTGGAGGTTGGTGAGCTGGTCAGGGCCGCGTTGGCCCGCTGTGGGGGGGCAAATGGGGGCCAACGTCAGAGTTCACCGTTTTTCTCTTGTTCGCGGTTTTAGACATCCCGTTTTGGCATGTTTCTTCATTTTTCACGTGAGTTTCCTCTTGGTGTTATGTAAAGCGGTAGGCACATTTGAGGTGGAGACCTTTGCTTTTGGACTCTCCAGTGGCAACTTCGGTTGACCTTTTTCGATTAAGGCTGGCTTCCTAGGGCCTGGCTTACTTGCGGATGATCCAACCCTCACTTTGTCCTTTGGGCACAACTGCACCAATTCGAGGCATAACTTTTTGTCTTACGGCCCAGTGTCGGGGCCAAATGGGGGGGGGGATCTTGAGAGCGATCTCGATCTCGTGCGGCCTAAGGACAACCGCCGAGCAGGTGGAGTTTGAGTACTCCAACCCACGTTTATGCATGGATGTGATCATTGCGCCCCGGAGAGTTGGATTCAGTTTCACAGCTGGCAGCGTTTCTTGCCCGGTTAGACAATGCATTGGGGTAGGTCTTACCCGGTTAGACAATTCCTTGGGGCACTTGACCGGTGAGTAGGATGAAAGAAAGCACTCGCATGCTTCGTTTCTCACAGGACGGGACGTTTTAGGGCAAGGGCTGCAAAATACACAAGTGCTTGCAGGTTGGGCACGCTCACTCTCCACTTTGGCCGTAGAGGTTCAATCGGACATACCAGGTTTAGCGAATGCTTAGTTACATGGGCCCTTGCTTTGATAATGGGATATAACGCGCCCCTGCATAGTTCGTCTCCTTCTTGCACCCCATCCCTCCCCCTGCCCCATGTTCAACGTAGTGGTTGTCACGTAGCCTTATGCACCTGGTGGCTCCAAACAATTAAACAGAACTGAGCGGACGTGGGTAAATCATGCAGGCCCAAACGAGGACTGTTTTAGCTTCTTACTGTTGACTGTAATCGCTGGATTGAGTGAAGGGTTTGTCATAGTTTGTTTTTAATTGCTCGTCTCCACGGCAATCGACATCATTGCTGGATTGCAAGGCAGTCTGTCACCTTTGTAGTTGTGCCACTCCTATCAAGCAACATGCACTGATGATGAAGCCTTAGAGTGAACACAGGTACAACATGCGTTTGCACACGTGGCTTCTTCAGGCGGTTGAAGATGGCTGCTGCAGAATAGCTTTCGAGCGCTACGCGGAAGCCTTGCTGGGCAAAGGGGAGCAACCGGCTGCTTACCATAGGTAATCTTGAAGATCTTGGCTCCACACAGATGAGTCAACAAGTAAAGAAACCGTTTTCCCTGGAGGTGCTTACATCTGTGATTGCTTGTCAAACTATTGAGTCTTGATGGCTCCCTTGAAGCACCATTTACCGTAGAGGGGCAAAGCTTGAGGATGTCACTTTGGACCAAGCGGTTTACTGGTCTCAGCCCACATTTGGATCAAAGATTGCGCCTTACAACCAAATCCACATTTCCCTTGAACCCCCCCTCCCCTTCGCCGAGCCAAAACCCCAATGGATTCGCGCCAAAGGGCTCTTTGTGCTCAAGTAGATACATTTTAATGAGGCTGGAAAGCAATCCTGATCAAGCTGGAAGTGTGTTTCTTTTGGGAAGAGGCTTCACAAACAAGCAGGCGGCAAAACAAGAAACACCCCGAGTCAAGTAGCGAAGCCCTTGGATGCCCTTGGCAAAAGCCACTCGGGGACTCACGTTTCCAGGCTGCGTGATGAAGTACCGCTGTTCATTTGGTTTGTGGGGCTTGGCTTGGGCATTTTGTCCCGCGCGGGAAGGAAAGGAATGGAATCCGCCCATCTAATTCAGTTTGGCACGGTCTGGAAGTGTTTTTTTTTGCCAGCGGGAGTTGATTCGGGAGAGGGGCTTGCTTGATAGATGACAGTTCGGCAGCTTGCGAGCTTGAAATGGGTCGCGTCGCGAAGTCTGGGTTCACAGAGTAATCTGGGTTTGTGCAGTCAAAGGGTTGAGGCAGCAGGTCTCTAGGTGGTTTGGCCAATGCCCGTGTTGGCGGAGCCTGTGAGAGCGCGAGAAGCCTCGGCTTGGCCAAAAGCATTCGCTGCACTACCTGGCTGTGGGTCAAAAATAGGTGCCCAAAATGGAACCGTGGTAAATGGAACCAAAGACTAAAACCTGAGGTCCCCTGGTGGATAAATTTTGACCCATACCCACCTGATTTCTGAGACAGACTTGAGGCTTGATTAGGTTTATGATGGACAACCAGCAAAACCATCTGCTGGCGGGAGCACACTCGTCCGATAGCACGCCCCGAAGTCCAAAGAAGACTGCTTTGAAACGTTGGTCCCCGCACGCACCCCCCCCCACTTAGTTGGGAAGGAGCTTGGAGAAGACTGGTCTTGTTCCAGGCGTGTCCAACTAAGGCGAGCATAAACCAGTACAAGCGCAATCCAAGCTGCAACCCGCTCAAGCCCTAACCTTCAATAAGCCTGCATAGCCCTTGCGCAGCTATGTTAAGCCATGGTACCCTTGATTTGGTAGCGTATTTTACCTGTAGGAGAGCCATTATTTGAAATGACGATTTGAAGAACCGGATTGAGAAACCTATGATTGATCAATGGGTGTGTCTCGTGAGAATTCTTCCCCGTGAATCCGCTGGGGTCACTCCAAGGTCGACATATTTGCTTACAGCTCTCCCGATACCAAGTGGACCTGGTTGAACATTCAACTATTCTATAGCCAATTTCTGTGACACGCAGGAAATCATGTAAGAGTTGGCGAGAATAGCCATGGGGGCACCAACCACTTTTTTCTATCAGAGCAAGGGGCATTATTTTTCTGCACTGGCTTTAGCTCTTTCTAGGGGTCACCGTCTTAACTTGGAGCAGTTGGAATCGAGTCAGTCCGGCCTCAGGAGAGAGCCGGCCTGAACTTTAGCAGCTGCCTCAGCATCGAGGAGTTCCTCACGACCTTGGAGGATCTCCGCCGGATCTACCTACACAGGCCCCCTCATGGGGCATCGGGCATATCCCGAAGGACCCTTCCCCCATACCATTCATCCCAGTAAGATCCTTTGTCGGGGTCCGCTCCTGGCTCCGTCGCCGGTATATGTGTTGGGAGCTGGCCGCTTGTGAGCTAAAGGGCAATCATATTTTCCACTTGGGATTTCGGTGCGGCTCTTGGCCCTGCGTTTCACTTCACATCCAAGCATGCGTCAAGGCAGGGGGCCCAAACATGGCGGTGTTCCGTTTGGATTCCACTTAAACCAACCTAGCACCACTCAATTGCCAATGGGATCCTTCACCGGGCCCCTCACAAAGCACAAGCAAAACACTTTCTTGAGGATACCCGTTGGGTGGTTTAAATGAAGCCACACAAAAAGAAGAACAACACCCCAAATCTCAGTGACATGGCAGGCCATTGTTGGTCCTCGTGGGAGAGGTGGCCTGGCTCAAGCAGCTGCACTCGCTGCCGCACGCCGGCCGCGTGCCGTACATTGTGGACACCAGCGGCTCCGGAGCGGCTCAGTGGCACCATCGAGAACATGCTCTGCCGATCCTCGCTCCCTCGCGGTTAGACATCTAAACGAGAACCCAACCCCAAAGAAGGTTTTTGGGAAAAAAGACAAACCCTGGTACTAGGCGGTACTAGGTGATGGAACAGGATTCGCACCATGTGGGTGTGGCTCCATGTGGCTCAATTTTTTTCAGAGCTAGGACAAACCGCAGGTAGTCTTTGGTTCCATTTGCCAAGGCGCCATTTTGGTACATGTTTTTGAGCCACAGCCATGTTGGAGATCAAACATGGGCTGGCTGCTGGTGATTCCACAGTGATTCTCCATAACATGGGTGATGGCAAAGTTCAATTGGGAGAATCTATTAAAAAATATGCCAGTAACGCCGGAAGAGCTGGGGAGCGGAAGTTTCAAACAGCCAAGGACCATAGTTAGTTTGAATCACGTTTGGCTGTTTCATTATTTGTGTGTGTTGTTTGTCGTCCTGGTTATCTTTAGCGTTTTTTTCCTTCTTCCTCTTTGTCATTCTCTTTGCTTCTCTCTCTCTCTGTCTTCCTTGCTTTCTCTTTCTCTTCCTCTTCCTCTGGCTCGAAGCGGTCTTCCTTTTTTGTTCTCGTGTATCTTCCTCTTCCTGTTCCTCTTGCTCTTCATCGTTATCTCTATTTTGTTCATCCTTCTCTTTCTCTGTCTCTGTGTCCGTCTCCTCTTCTTCTTCTCTCCTTTAGTTTTGTTCTTTCTTCAGAATGTTTTGTCGTTATCTTCTTCTTGCTCTCTTCCCGTTTATCTTCCTGTTCCTTTCCCTTTTTCTCTTTCTCTTTCCCTGCCTCTTCATAGTATTCTTCTTCCCGTTGTTTGTTTGTTTGCTCTCTTCCCTGCTTCTTTCTCCTTCTCCCTCTCCTTTTTCTTCTCCTTCTCCTTCTCGTTCACGGTATTCTATTTGTGTTTCTGTCGCTACCTTATTTGTTTTTTGTCATTATTGTGTTTCTCCTCTTCTTTCTCCTCTGGTTTATATTAATCTTGCTCTTTCTCCATCTCTTTCTCTTTCTCCTTGGCTTTCTCGTTTTCTTTCATCTTTATCTTCTTCGTTATCATCTTCTTTCTCTTTCACTTCATCTTCCGCTTCCACTTTATCTCTCTTTGTCTTATTTTTCGCTTTCTCCCTTTTGCTTTCGCTTCTTTCTCTTATGTACTCTTTCTCTTCCACTTTGCATGTTTCTCTCATTCTCTGTGTATCTCCCTCTCCCTCTCTCTCTCTCTCTCTTTTTCTCTTTCTTTCTTTCTTTTTTGCCCTTTGTCTCTCTCCCTCTGCCTTTGTCTGTCTGCCTCCAGCCCACGAAGGCGAACAAATGCAAAACGCCGCGTTTTCGAGGCTGGCCTCCGAGCGTGCGCAGAGGACGAGTTTTTGAGTGTCCCACCCGCAGAGGGTTAGGTCGCGCAACGGCAGTGCCAACGGGCCGTCGCCGCACCCGCTCCTCGCCCGCTCCCGCACAGGCGTCGCGACTAAGGCGGCTCGCGCAGATACAGAAGAGCCGAATTCACGCACAGGTGAATGTTTTCGGCCCGCTTCTATTCAATTGTTCTGAGTTTTCGACCTTCTCTTAGCTTTTTCACGCAGCTCACTGCCATTCTGTAGCTCTCTGCAGCTCTCGGTCTGGCCCTTGAAGCCATGTGGAAACACGCAGACACCCACCCTCTATCGGAAACCAGCTAACGCAAACATTAGACTTCAAGGCAGTTAAAGCCCGGTGTATACCTCAAAGCCAACGCGAAGCGTTTACAATAAGAAAGGGCAACTGATTAGCCATCAGGGGAGCCATTGCAAACTTGCAGCCTTGTGAGCATTACATCCCGCAGAGCGTTGGGGGGGGGGAGGGGGGGACCGAGGAGGGGCTACGAATTTTCAATAGCCTCCTTAGTGAGTGGGGTCTTACATGTTGTGCACCATAACTGCAGGCTTTCACCAGTTTCTAAGGGAATTGACGCAGTTGGACCGGCTTTGATAGGGGAATTTGATCAGTTTCTCGAGGGTTGGGGATGGGAAGTTGGCCGGTTTCTATTGGTGATTGGATCGTTTTTGTTTGACCGGTTTTTTGCGGTTTATTTACCGGTTGTAAAGGGGATGTGACCGCTTTCTACAAGAGATTTGACCGGAGTTCCCCGGTTTTCGAGGGCGCAAGATCTCTTTTCTTGAAGGGATCTGACCGCTTCCCGGCGGACTGGAGGCAGTTGGAGCCCTGGGGGCCGAGGCGAATTAGGATGGTGAGAACTATGCTGGAGTAAACCAACTTTTCTTGGAGAAACAAAGTCCCAGCAAGAGTCTGTTACACACTTCTGGTTGGCAGAGCCGGTGCTGTGCTGAGAAGGGAGCCATGGCTTTGGCCGGAGTGGAAAACAGAGGCAGCAGAACCTTGCTCATGTTTTGCCTCAGCAATGCCCTTCCCTTCCGCTACCCCGACCGCCAATGGATTCATGCAATGGAGGCAAGGTTCCCTGTTCACAAAGGGGTTGATTCACAATCCCCCATCAACCATTTCATCCCCGCTGAGACCCGGCGCATTGAGACGGGATCAGGGCTCCGGGGGTAATCGCAGCTTTGTGAAGGTTTCCACCCTACAGTTTCCGTGTCGCGTTATCTGGGCTTGCAAAATGTCACTGAAGCGGGCGGTTTGTGAGAACATGTCAGGGGCACACTCCAGGCCGAGCCTGGCATACCCCAAGACAAGCCTTGTACAAGCGCTTCATTTTATCTGCGCCTTCTGGAAGTCCTGTTTTTTTGTGGGACCTGTGGACCTGTCAGATTCCCTGTTGGCTCTAACAATTCTTCCGGTGTCTCCGAGGTCAACTGCCAGAGCAGTGCCAAGTTACTGGCATCTTGCACGCAGAATACGTTCGAGGAGCTTCTGGATCAATGTGCCCAGTGGTGGACAGACCTGTTTCGCGACTCTCCCGCAGGCTTGTCACTCAAGCCTCCTAAACTTTGACCATGGCCAATTCAGCTCAGCAGCTTGGGAAGTGCACGGCGTCGCCGGTGAAACAAAATTGACAATGCCCCGTCAAAAAAAAGTGACCATCCCTGATGAAAAGAAGTTGTGCCTGCAGCTCAACTGACCGCACTGCACACGCATGCCTGCATGTGCACTTGTAGATGGAACCGTAGAGGTATATGCATATATATTTATGGGATAAAATATATATATATATATGGATTTGTCCTTTTTTGTTGTGCTGAGTTGGTGGGAGCTCCCCGAATCATACCACCGAATCATGCCCCCGAATCATACCCCGAATCACACCACGTAAAAAGTATGCTGCAAGTAGTAGTGGTAGTTTTTGTTGTTGTAGCAGCAGAAAGGAAATAGTCGTAGTGATAGTGTCAAGGGTGGCAGCGGAAGCAGAAGTCGAAGCAGCAGTGGTGGTGTAGTAGTCGTAGTAGCGGTAGTAGCAGTAGTAGTAGTAGTAGTAGTAGCAGTATTTGTTATTGGTGGCGCTGGTAGTGGTTGTTGTGGAGGCCTCCTACTCATTACTACTACCAACACTACTACTACTACTACTACTACTACTACTACTACTACTACTACTACTACTACTACTACTGCTACTCTCCTCCTCCTCCTCCTCCTCCTCCTCCTCCTCCTCCCACTACAACTACTACAACAACTGCAACTACGCCTCCCTTACAATGAAACTTGCCACCACTACGGAGCTACTTCTACTCACTGCTACTGCTGCTGCTACTGCTGCTGCTACTGCTGCTGCTCTTGCTACCCCCAGTGCTACTCATGCTACTACGACCACCACCACCACCACCACCACCACTACTAGTACTACTACGACTACTACTACTACGACTACTACTACTACGACTACTTCTACTACTACTACTACTACTACTACTACTACTACTACTACTACTACTACTACTACTACTATTAGTTCTGCTGCTGCTGCGGCTGCTACGACTGCTGCTTCAGCGAATCATACCCCCGAATCATACCCCCGAATCATACCCGCGAATCATACCCCGTACTCAAACCTTCCTGCCCGGCCCCCGTAAAAAATGCAAGCCCATATGTATATATATATATACATATGTCTACGTGTGCGTAGTTAGAAGCTTTTACTCATAGTGCGCCATGACAGCAAAACTTGTTTGCTCAGTGGCAGAGGCAAAGTGCTTGGTTTTGAATACAGGTTCCCTGCGTTTGGCACAAGAATGCCCATCTAAAATGACAATCCTGGTGCACACACTTCTCTTGCTGCTTCTATGCAACCTGTCGCGGTACGACTGGCTGCTTGCGTCCTTGCGTCCTGGGACGGTCGTTTGTTACGTTTGCTGGCTGGTGCAGCCAGTGGAGCTGGGAGAACTTCCGGATGCACTTAGTCAGCTAAAGACAAGCCTCGCCGCGCCTGCCTTTATAATTTGGCGCCTTGAACGAAACGCCGGCTCATTTCGTGAACCGTGACCTTTCTACTTGCAGCGTGACACACTGCGCCACACGGCAAGCCCTTCCCCTTGCCTTTTTTCAGGGGCTGGTGCGTTTTTTAGCTTTGAACAGGGCGCCTCATGAGCATGTTCTTCAAGCACTCGTGTTTGGGTTGCCATTTGGGTGGCAACATGCCTTCTCAGAAAGCCTCAATTGGTGGGTTGAAGTGGTGGTTTGGGTTTGGACCCATGACTGTTGTAGAGGGACTGCCTCACCCTCCACATATTTATGTGTAGGCACTGTACGTAAGCATCACACCTGGAGAAAGCTCATCTAGAAGGAGACCAAAAGTGATGTGTTTGATCCGGCTGAGAATGGACATGTAGTGACCCCTGGCTTCTCTCCTGGCGCAAGATCCAAGAAGTATCTATTTTTGGGAAGATAATAAGTGCTTGGAGGGGGATATGGGCGGGTCATTTACTCTCTTTCCACGAGTTCCGAGGGGTCTTCCAGAACGGCTTCCATTCTAAGGGTAATTTATGGTCGCATGGAACTGGGGTGCCCTTTCGTTCCACAGATGCACCCAGCACTGCTCACGCCACACCGGATGCAAAGGGATGTACCGCTTTTATCCCTCGAGTCACAGTAACTTCCCTAAGTTCATGGACTCTTGTATTTTTTTGGGGAAGACCATGCTAAGTAGCAACACAAATCAAGACTTTCTTGTGCCAATCCGCTCGATCAGAAGTGAGGAACTTATGTTGGCTGCGTTAGCCATGCTTCCGTGGGTTCACTTGAGCCGGCAGTGAGCCGAACTCAATTCAGACGGCTCGATACGGATCATTTGTGCAAGTCCTCGGGGAAGCTACTGAAGCAAAGCGGCCACGGCGCAAATCAGATGGAACGCTGCAAATGGCCTCTGGAAATGATGTGCTTTTCATGCAAACTCCGTTTGGGGGTCCTTATCTCCTCAGTCAGCATGCCCGGAGGCTTTCTGAAAGTGGGAACGCAACATTCCCACTTTCCGGCGTGCAACGTAAAGTTCAAAGATGTAACGCGAGGGGCGTTTGCAAGAAGTCAAAGTGAGGCCGAGCACCCCTGAAATTGGCCGGTGAAGTTACCTAGTCACAGCACTGCCAAGGTTGTCCCATGTCAGATGCCTGACATATTTGACCTTGTTTGTTGAAACACCCCTTGCGAGCCACGTGAGACGTCGTCTATATTGAGGTTGCGCAGTGCGGCCAGGTATTTGTGTGAGTCGATCCGCACTTCACCCCTCAACAGCTTACAGGCTATCAACTCAGAGTGGGACGCCCGCCGCTCCGCAACTCATTTGGAAACATACTATGATGGGCGGCGGGGGGGGTTGCGTGCAACGACAGCACCTTGGATCTTCTCTCCTGTGACCGGTGACTAACACGGAGCAACCAATGCAGTTTGAGAGGTGAACATGCATCGAATACGCAGACAGATGTAGTGACAATCATGTATTATTCCATTCCCTTCATTCGTTCGTTCGTTCGTTCTTTCGTCCATTCATTCATTCATTCATTCATTCATTCATCCATTCATTAATGCATGCATTCATTCAGTCAGTCAGTCAGTCACTCACTCACTCACTCAGTCAGTCCATGTCTTTTCATTTATTAATATCCTTTCATTTCATTCCATTCACTTCACTTGTTGATGTGATTCATTCATTGGGCGCTGCCACGTTTAGCAACATAACAGAGAGTTATTTAAGTCGGTTGATGGAAGACGTCTTGCATGACTGTGGAAACTGAATCATGCCATCTTGGACTTGCCACGCGCCTCCTCGTGAATACTGGTGCTCAGTTTGCCCAAGTTGGGTTGGGTCATGCAAGCTTCATGACGTTGGCAACTCACGAGCGGCAAACACCCAAAGTTCTAAATATCAGCAACAGCACGAGTGAAATGAAATGCCAGACAGAAACCAACATCAAGACGAAAGGTGGATCAGGGGATGTGGCACAGGTCTCTGGGACTAACCGTCAGAATTCGTATTCAAGCCCGAAGAACGCTATGCGGAGGCCGCCCCAAATCAATCGATCAATCAATCAATCAATCCATCAATCAAGCAATCAATCAATCAAACCGATCCGTCAATCAACCAACGAATCAAGCAAGCAAGCAAGCACGCAAGCAAGCAAGCAAGCAAGCAAGCAAGCAAGCAATCAATCAATCAATCAATCAATCAATCAACGAATCAAGCAATCAAGCAATCAATCAAGCAAGCAATCAATCAATCAATCAATCAATCAATCAATCAATCAATCAACCAATCAATCTTGTCAATCAATGAAACAAATCGATCAGTCAATCAATCAACAAATCAACCAATGAACCAATCAACCAACCAGCCAACCAATCAATCCAAAAATCAATCAACCAACCAACCTTTCAATAAACCACCCCACTCAATTATTGAAGGAATTTTGGAATGGACGGAAGGGAGGAAGGCCCAAATTTGCGGGAGACTCTTGGTGGCATCGCGTGGCATCGCGTGGGCACACTGTGCTCTGCTTTCAAATGTGCTGAGATGCATTCTGCAGCGCGCCTTGCGGAAACAAACAGCTCCGTCAACGGCGCCGGCGGTTTGCTTTGCGCCCCTTTTTTCAGAACCGAACTGAAGATGCCTTGCCCAAGGCAGCTTCACGACCGGCGTGTGAAAGTGCGCTAGCGTTTCAGTTGAGGGTTCAGGGGCCAGAATGAGGAGAAATGCTACAATTGAATGGTTGAACTAAAGCAGCCACCAAATATCCAATTGATAGCATGAGGCCAAACCCCACTCATGCCATGATCAGGGTTCCTTACATGCCCCCTTTGAAAGCAGCAAGATTGACCTAGGTTGGCGGCGCCTAAGTCGTTGGACATCCGATGCTCCTTTTGTGCCGCGGCCTTTGGCGGCCTTTACCCGAAGAAGACAGCAGCAACAGATGCAGGAACAGCATGGTTGGACACATGGATGGCTTTTTATGCTCAACTCCACACACATGGGGCGATTCCATCGCATCACCAAAAGATCGAGTAGTGTACAGTGGTTGGGTTTGGTCTTCGTGGGAATGCTAGGCCATGAAAGTGGGGGGTCCTTTGTAGGGGAGCGGCTGATAACCCACACGCACACACAATAGTTGATGTGCTGGCCAAGATGTCCATTTCCATAGCCCTTACACCGTCAGATGGGGGCGGGGGCTTGACAAAAGAGATGGAGTCTAGGGCTATTTCCGGAGTGTAGGCTTTGCCACCCATGGGCTTCTGACAGAAAACCGGTCAAGTGTGCTTAACCCAGATATGCCATCTCCTCACCCGATCTTGGGGCGCGTGACAATCATGAACTGCTTGATCAGCTCTTGCCAGGTTCTTATCAAAAATGTTGGGCCGATTCGGTTCAAGGGCGCTTCAGAAGACGGGGGAACACTTTTTAACCCCCTGATGATCTGGGCTGCGAAGTCATACGGTGGCTGTGAGTGATGTTTTGTTGCGGGCCTGCCCGCCGCAATTTCTGTTTCGGGTTGTCGATGGTGCCCATTGCCAAAGGCCAAAGAACTTGAGAGCAGCAACTTTAGGTTTTAACGTTGCCCCGTGGCAAG